TATGTGTAAGAGTGAAGTTTAGTACTTAATTAGTACATTTTTTTCCAGATTTTGCTGCTGATAGTTTACTTGTATATCTCTAGTGTTAGAATAATTCTTGTTTCGAGAATCGACGAGTTAATTAATTTAGTGTGAGTGTGTGTTGGTATGAAGTTTGAATAGTTGTGCGTATCTTTAGTGGGCCTATTTCATTGGTTGTGTTATCTATCTTTTAATCCAGACAGTTAATATTATGCTGTGTCTTTTGTTTATTGATATAGTAATATTTGATTCTATCTTGAAGCATGGCTGTATTAAGTTTCTCAGTTAATCTATGACATCGTGGGATGTTCACAAGTATATTAACCATTAGTCTTTTAGATATGTTGTTTACAGTTATGGATGGTGAAGTGGTTATTTATTTTAGCTCAATTACACTTAAATCTTTATATGTTCCTGAATTCCTTACAATTTCCGGGGCCATATTTGGTCATTAAATATTTATGGTAAGGCTGAGGTGATCGGATATCACTCGTTGTCATGACTAAAAGCATATACGTTCACCTAAGTCAAATTATATATATAATTATCAATTAAAAACACATTCACTGGAAAAACGAAAAGCCCAACTTTACAAAGTGAAGTTTTGCTTCGTAGAGCAAGGTTTCATTAATAAAATGTCATAATACTACTTACGGCTTTCTGTGAATCAATTGGCATGCAGTAGTTAATCCGTAGAACTATATGTGGACAATATTTTGCACTTGCTTCAGGCATCCTAAATGAATTCATATAAATCCAAAATGGGGCAATGTTTAATCACCAAATATTGTGTACTAAATGGTATATAATTTCACCCAGAACATCAGTTACGGCTCCCTAATACAGTATCCGAATTAAAAGAAAGTTAAAAACTGAAAAGAAACCAAAAGTTCAAATGAAAAACAACCCAAAGGTACAAAAATTACTAAGACTAAGAGTTGGGCAAAAGCTCATCAAAATCTAAATATTAGCAAAATATTTGCCTAGTAGGGCGGTTAGAGTTGAGAGAGGTGAGAAAGCGTCCGACTTTTGGTGTAAGATTAGGGGATTACAGCATTAAATAGTTAGAAAACAAAAAACAAAATGCAGTATGCGTACTTACGCAGACAATCAGACATCCATTTCTACAGGATCATTTTAGATATTTGTGAAAGATGTATACAAACGGTTGTAGACATAGCAGACACAAACACAGATGCTGAGTATGTTGGAACTATTTTGGAGCCTCACCACGTCGTTACAATCCATGTCGTAACGTACGGTCATGTTCTTTCTGACGACTATCCATCTTGACAATAGTCCTGAATCGTAGTTCCTCTTGTAAAATTTTACGTCATAATGGTGTCATGTCCAAAGCACACCACATCTACTTTCAGGCTTTCCATATTCCACCTACTGCATGACGACAACGGTTTTCTAGTGCCTGTTTCACCAGTCCAATTGCAGAGTTTGTATGAAATAGCACGAATATCCACTTCATTCTCCATCTCTCTGAAGTATACGACAGTTGTATGGGAGGTATGACTGGAATCCTTATCTTAGTGAACTCATACCCTCTTGGCTGTGTTTCCAGACGGTGATCATTGCGTACTGTTGTTTGGAGCACGTGGACAACTGACCTTTATGATCGTGAATTCTCACCTGTTACAAGATGCCGCACTTTTCTTAACATAGCTGATGCATGTCTTGTTGCAGGTCTCTTTCTGGATGTTCCCTCCCCGTGTTGATCCATATTCCTTTGTTTTACGATGCCAATAAGTACAAAGGATATCCAAGTCTTAGAAATTATAAATCTTGATGTGAACACATATTCATGATCTATGTGTATGAATATTTTGTGTCGGAACGGGGTTATACATACCTATCCCAAAATCCATCACTTTTAGTTTAATGTTGTTTTGATGAAATGACGTTCCACCGTGAATATATATCGGCTGTGGTTGGCACGTGACTTGTTGATTTGCTTATTCAAAATCGTTTTAATATAACATACTAATCCCTTTGTATGCTGAATATTTTTCAATTAAGAATAAAATGGGTTCAAATATGGTCATAGCGTTAAAAACGTTAACATTTTTTGCATATTATTAATAGGGAAAGTCATTCATGACATTATATATGAATGTTCAGTTTTTATATTTAATGCACTCTCGAACGATTATGGAGTTATATTACATCATGATAATAAGTAAGTCGTGAATTAATGCATTTAAAAATTATTTTTCTAATAATTATAAAAATTAAGAACAATTTTAAGTCATTTCTAAGCTTACTTTTATGATTTAACAAACGAAGACACAAGTTTGGAAGGGAAAGTCTAACCGCATTACCTTAGTGTGAATTTAAAAAAAAAATGTTGTTTGAAAACAATGTAAAATTAAAAAAAAGGCTGATCTCGTACTGGTTTCTTATAATGTCATTTTAGAAGACAATGTTATCGTATTATATTTCTACGGAACACTCACATTGAATTAAGTGTACTTCATAGCTTTATGATAATTCATCTGAATGCGTTTGGACATACTATTAACTTCGAGTATTTGTTTTTATAGTCGGTTCAATACTTGTTCGTCATCACCATGAACCCCAGCTTGATATATTTATATATATATTAGGCTTAAATATAAAAGTTAAAAAAAGTAAATATGTATCTATGTAATGTAATCTTTAATGATGAATCTAATGAAAACAACGCAAAATAAATTCCGAGAAGGAAGCAAAGGTCATTAACACGAATTTAAACGAAAACCCAACTTTGAAAAGAAAATTCTAACCGTATTATCTGAATGTGAATTTAAAATAAAATACAACAACTGATCCCTTGCTTGTGTTTCTTTAGTATATCTTTTGCATTATAAATTATTGGGTCAATATAAAAATAAAAAAATAAATAGAAAATATTTCATGAAACTAAGCTAGTAAAGGTAAATCCAACAAACTGGAAGAATAATTATTCTCAGATTAACATATTACATTGTGTCTAATTACATTGTCTGACCTCAGACCACCAAAATGATTTCTGTGTTTCTGTGCACAAAAAAAAAAAGTTATCAGCTACATTCGTTAAGCCTTAATAAATTGAAACTGTTACTATAAATTTAAAGCCACAGTTGAGATGACTCTACATTATTTTTGTTTTGATTAAAATTAAGCATTCTTTTACATAGCTTATAAAAGGTACACAAGTGACTCTTACCCTTGAATATATCCTAAATATACTTTATCTAAAAATTCATCAAATTATTGATGGAGTTTTATTTTAGTTAACATTCGATAAAACACCAAAATGGTTTAATTATTTGTTGCTGTTGCTTTGAATTTGAAATTACCATCTTTCACATATGTAGTGGTAGGTTTTGCTATTTAGCATTGAGAAGCAGTTGTATTGGCCAGAAGTGACCAAACCATCACATCCACTAATTACACTATGTGGCTCGTTAAATTTTAGCACTGTGAAATTAAAATGAAACAAAATCTGAATTCACATTTGCAAGAGAAAAGAATCTATTAACTTTACTGATCATAACACATTAGTATTAGGCCTATTACGTTTTTTAAACACTCTATTCTTAATCTAGTTCCTTATGGATTTCCAGAAATTAGAAGAGTGTATAATAATAGTATTCAACCACATTACATCTCTCATATCCATTGCCGACGACGCGTTTCGCTCTATCCAGAGCTCTTCAGTATTAATATAAGCCATTTGATACAACAATAAATTGTTATGGTGTGTATCCCAAACTTTGTTAGCTCTTCATCCAACATTAATATTTAAAGGTCAATGAACGTATTTAAATACTTTTCAGCTTATGATGGCTTTCTAAATATAGATTAAAAATTCGCATGAAAACAATTATGGGAATGAACTACCTTATTCCTGTAAATATGCAAAAATAACGGTAGAAAGGATGTCTTTCTTTTTTTTTTTTAAGACATAAATCATGGTTGACTTAGTACCATCTCGTGAAATGCTACAATCATGTTCAATATCCGATTTAACATTCCATTACTTATTATAGACCATCATGGTTAATTAAGAATGAGCAAAATTTAGTCTTACAAATTTTCCTATAAATATAGCCCTTATGGCAAACCAAGTGGCCTAGAAGTAGAAGCAGTTTACTTCGATATCGAGGATTAAGCATTAATGTGATTTCTTAAGACAACCGTTTGTTTGTAAGTTAGGTGCATCTTTCTACAAATTATAAAGCGATAGACAAAACATAAAATCAGCCGTATTATTGAATAAGCAGTGCAATTACAGGAATTATTTACCATTTACAATTGAAAAAAAAAAAATCAGTCTTAAGCATAACTTCATTATCCACCATATCAAAAAATAAAATTCTAACCACTTAAAATCATTTAATATAAACAGTAATTTTGTTGTCTTATTGCTATAGTAATAATTCAACAGTATTTGCATAATAAATTCTAAAAAAAAGTTCCATAATTTAATATATTTTTTCCCAAATCGTTGTTAATAGTCATGCACTTAAGAAAGAAATATATATGAAAACCTAACACTGATGTAAGAAACTTGGTATGTTTGCAAGAATTCATTATTTCATCCTCTTCTGAAAACTAAACATTAGACAACTTGCATAACCGAATTTCTAAGACAAACTTTTTATCATCACTTTTCTTAATACACTAATTCTATATTTATAACATATCATTATTCTTTATTTAAAGCATAAAACAAACGTTTTTGAACACTTACTATTCCTGTAAAAAGTTTTTCTCTGACAACACCTGCTATGCTTTTTGTGGTTTTTAAACTAAATGGGGGACAGATTATAATTCATCTTAAAAGGTATTATTCTTTCCACTTACATTATTTCGGAAATGGTGAGTTACAAACATATACAGCTATTATTACTTGCAGCAGTAACTGCAATTTTATTTTAATATATGTACCAACAGAAGAAGAAATTACAGTGATAAAGAAAATGAAATAAAAAGGAAACCATTGCTCAGCTTTAGCGATTATTTATTGTGGTAAATTATCAAAAATTTATTCAATGATGTACTTACAGGAAATATGATACAAACTGTGAAATTCAAAACATTTACAAAAAAAAAAAAATATATGGCTGAAAGCCTAAACTCAAGTAGAAGTATTCAAACTGAGTTGAGAGGATAAGTGGTGTTTTGGTCTATTAAGTACACCCCACATTAGAATGAGGGTACTGACCAATTCCTAGTAGAATTTCTAGTAACACTACACAATGTAAAGTATAAAGTTTCAGTGACCCTACAATTTATGATACTACATTTGCCCTACCTTGGGAGAATTCCCATTACTAATTCTATATTAATTTAGGAAGCAATGATTCGTTTAGCATAAAATGCTTCTTTTTTATCATTAATTAAAAAATTGAGTCAATATACTACATTGCTTTAAAGCTAAAAACATAGCCTTAATTTATGCATAGTGAAACATTATAGAGTTCAACTGTATTTGATTCAACATCTTAATAAGTCATCCAGTGGTTATTTTCTAAAAATGCAGAACATGAACTCTGAAAGACAATTAGGTTTATGATGAGTTGGAAAATTCTTAGCAAAAAAAAGCAAAAATTAAGATATCCCTAAAGAGCTAAATTGCAAATGCATGAAAATCCCGGATGGAAAAGTTACAACTCACAAAGGCACATGAGAAACAAAATAGCCACTTTAATGGGAATTTCCCCATTTTGGCTGCTCTGGCAATAAAGGAGCTACCTTCTGGTTTTAAGGGGAGTTAACCCTCCTGGCTGCTCTGGCGGTAAGGAGTAACCATATGGTAGTGTCCAGCATCAGTTGTGTTCACAGAACATTGCAAAAAGTCGGCTGAGCTGCAACTTACTCCCTTACTAACAAGTGAAAAGACTGGTATATGTACATGGTTATGGTTTCAAGTAAAACCAACAATACTTGATAAGTGTGCAAATCAGTTAAGAAACTGACCTCTTCCTGAAAGAACCATCTGTTACTGAGAACATGCAGATGTCAAAAAGATGGTTATAAAAGGCAAGAAAGTGCAAGTGCAGGCTGTCAGTAACATTATTATAACCACTATTTGAAGGAAAGTAAGTAATATGCTAGAGAAATACCCCAAAAAATTGCTGACATTTAGAAGCATACAGGGAAACAGATCCAAATACTTTGGATAAATATCAGCCATTGGGGTAAAGAATTGTTACTTTTTCTTGGTTGCACAATATTTTCAGTTTATAACTCTGTGCAAAGAATTTTATCTCTATTTTATTTACATTCAAAGACTAAAACATTATTCAGATTACACTGCTTTCCAGCTATCAGTGTGCTACACTTACATTTATCAACAACTTATGTCTAAGGTTGATAAGTAGTTTATTTAATATACATAGTAATCTGCAAAGGTTATACTGTTTATTTGCTATTAACTTTCTAACAAAGGTTTCAAAGGCTAAACTCCATGATTCAGATGTTACTAGTTTTCACCACAAGAATGTAGAGCACTGATTAAATGGCAACTTCAGCAAAAAAAGGCACAGAATTAACAAGAATCTAAACATGGCCAACAGATTATGTGTCACAAAAAAATTAAAAGTAATAATAAGATGTTCTAATGGGCCATTTTAATATATATATATATATATGGGAAATTTTTAGATTAGTAACATTAATTAATGTTAAAATTGAGCATTTAAAGTGTGATCATATTATACCAATTAAGAAATGACAAAGAAAACATTAAGACTGTCAAGGTAAGATATATCACACTTTCTAACCATATCACAGTTTACTTTCAATACCAACAATCCACACCAATCAAGCAGGGTACTAACATTTTTATACAGGTAATATTACTACGTAATCAAAATCATTCAATGGTTTGGTTACTTTATATCCAATCTTTCACTAGAAGCTGCAATTTGCTCTGTACTTTTTAACTACTGACTTTCTAATATTTTGTTACTATTAAAGATAAAAAATGACACTTACTTTCAGCCTAAGAAAGAAGATAAAATTTAAAAGCATGTTTATCATTTGCCTGCTGGACTATTTTTTAGATGATTGTTTTTAAATCTCATATGCCACAGTAACAAGTCTTCATCACCTACGTGACAACATTAACTCAACAAGATGTAATGTCTTTAGTTTTCTTTTCAAGAAATGTTCTTTGTAGATATCTTCTGTGTGGAAAAAGTTGTAAGCTTTCTGAACCATTCACATACACTTTTCTTTACTTTCACTCAGATGTCCTTATTAATAATTCCTATAAATCACCCATATAGTTGGATTCTGAACAAAACAAGTCATGTTCTAGTCACAATATAGTGAAGATATCATTCACTGACTTTTGGTAAACAAATTTAGTACAGTGGTTGAAAACAACAATGATTGAAAGAGCAATCTTAACAATGGAAGCATAAACATTTTCAAGTTCATCCTCTAATTTGTACAGTAACAAAACCTTAAAGTGCAACAAAAATAGTTTGGTGTCAAACACTTTCAACTAAATGTCTTTTGTACAAAACAAATGCTTTCTGTAAACGTTTGCATATAAACAATGTAAAATGACTGTAACACCAACCAATTTTTGTAGAAAAATAATAACGGCAACACTCTGATTTTCTATAAACCAAGCAATGGCATTCTAAGCACGATGGTATGTAACTTCTGCATAAAGAATATAAAAATATAACCCAATCCAACTCCTACAAGCGGACATCCCTTCCCTATACCCTACTTAGGGTACAAGCTTTTAACCTTTCTCACCAAACTTCTAGAGGAGCTTTATACTTCTGTCCCTCGACTTGCAATACTTGGTGACCTTGAATGAATCACAACTTTGTGACCATTCTTAATTACATGACCATCACTCTCCACAATAACTGAGGTCTGTTGCTGATGTGGACTATTGTGGCTAACCCCTTTATACTTTCGAAAAGCTTGTTGAATTACTCGTACACAGTACTCTTCTCTTTGCCGAAGGAGGGTAGTGCTGATTGCTTCATACTCTCTGTTCTCTTTTGCAGGCACAGCTTCAGCTAGCTCAGCTGTTTCTTCAATTACTCGTCCTTTCTGAGCAAAGAAATTCTTAGTCAGAGCATCCAAAATATCAACACAGTAAATTGTATTTCCTTCACAAATTGGAATATCCATTGAGATGAGTTTGTACTTGTTAGGCTTTTTGATCTGTAGAGGATCCTCAAGGGCATCCACAAAGTCAGACAATTCTTCATATTTGATGAACTGGGTACCTTCTGGGTCAAACTTTTGCCATATCTCATAGTACATATCATAGTCATCATTGGTTAAGCCTTCTTCAACATCTTCTGTAGCTTGACTATAGTTTTCCAATATGACAGCTATGTACATATTGATGATGATTAAAAAGCTAATTATCAAATATGAAATCAAATAGGCAACACCAATGCCTTTACTTCCACAGTTACCATCAACGCCAGAAATACAGTCAGTCTCATCAATAATACCTGAAAGAGTTCCATCCCAGCCAGCAGAGGTAGAGATCTGGAAGAGGACAATCATGGACTGCCCAAATGTTTCAAAGTTGAAATTATCATCAACACCATAGCGATGTTTCACATTCATGAAGAAGGACATTCCAAATATAGCAAAGATAAACATGACCAAAAAGAGAAGAAGGCAAATATTAAATAGTGCAGGTAAGGACATAGCCAGTGCAAAAAGAAGTGTTCGTATTCCACGGGCTCCTTTCACCAACCTCAGTACTCGGCCCACTTTCACAACACGAACAACACGGAGCAAGGTTGGAGAAACAAAGTACTTGGCAATCAGATCTTTCAGAGCCACTCCTGTAACAAATTATATATTATTATTATTATTATTAGTGCTTCAATTCAAAACAAATAAGCTATTCCAAAAGGATTGAAAATAATCCTAGTGTTGATATGCAGTAATTTCTTTTAAGGTTTATAGTCAATGAAGAAAACAAAATTCAAAATTGTACAAAACACCAGAAGTAAATTTTATATTCTTATCAACACACTTAAATTTTTAGTCTCCTAATTTGCACTTATACAGTATGTTAAGGAACAAAATTTAATCAAGGTTATAAATATGGTACACACTATTATAACTGGAAATATTAATCTAAACTGAAAATACTTGGATATTTGTGTTATCATTTCAGCCAATAGTATTCAAACAAATATCATACCCAATGAAAGGTTGATTTACATAATATCTTTTACTACAACATTTAAAGTATGTGTGGGTAATATTACTGTTAGCAATTACAAACTCACTTTTTGAAAAATATAACTATTCAAAAATTCATTGTTCACAAGATCAATAAATGTGATATATACAAAACTGCAGTTTCATATTAGTTATTATTTTACTTTTTTTCTACTTTACAATTTCAAAACATGTTAGTCTTTAAGGTTAGTCAAAATCATAAAATGTTTTCAATAAAAGGTCACATTACACTACTTTTCCCAAAGCATGTAAAGAATATTAACCTTTTTTATAACCTATTGATTTCATAGTACAAAGCTTTTAATCATCCAGTTACCAAGAATGAGAAAACAAACCTAATACGCAACCTTAGATACTTTCAATGGTGATACTTTACACCTAAAACTATTGCAGTTTACACTCTGGCTTCAAAATCTACACTCTTAGAATTGAAATAGTATTGAACTCGATACTTACCTCTGGATGGACTGTAAGTTAATATATAGATGTGCTGCTCACCTAGACAATTTTACTGCAATTTTCCATACACTATCTTGTAACATATTTTGTAAATCTCATTTTCAAACAATCAAAAGAACTTCAAGACCACCATTAAAATGGAATACCAATTTAAATATTGCCACTACTCATCAACCTAACTATTTTTGTATTAGAAACATTTTTAGAAAGATTAATTGATAAAGGGATGGGAAGGAACTTGTTCATCTACAGGTGTTTAATTGAATTCTACTTTAATTCTAAATATATTATTTCATATATATATGGTGTACATCTGTAAGAATAGTAATCCATAATGCCTATTATGCAAAGGATTTCTCCTGAAGTGTATAGAGTCAAGAAGCCAAAATAAGCTAACCAAAAATATTTGAAGTCAAATAGAAAGGGATGTCTGGGAAAAATGATCTCTTTGGTTAGAGCTATAAGCAAAGAAAAAGTTTTGGAGAGGAGCCTCAAAAAGCTCAAAGTGAGACAAATAGCAATGAAGTGTGTAAACACAAGTTTTTTGTCAGCCTGAGTGAGAATGAAAAGATAAAAAAAAGAAAATGATAGGGAAGCATCAAATCATTCTTCTGTACTATCTACATCATAGAAATAAATATACAGTCAGAATAAAAGTGCCGTCCAACAAGAAATAGCAATGGAAAGAATGCATCATTTCTTTAACCCTTTATGGACTGGTGAGTGTAATTAACATCCCTTGATATTTTTATTTTCATAGTGGAAATACTTAACCAAGTTATATGAATCTTATTAAAAATTTACTAAATAGTATCTAGCTTCTACTTTAAAAAATAATAATATGATTTAGTTTTACTGTCAAATTTAGATTGTGAAATTTCCAAAATTTGGAGACATTGTTTTAAAAGAAAATATTATCATTTTCATTCATTTTAGAATTTAAATATTTTTATTGTTGAACAGAAAATTTCATTTTACTTATCATTTTCAACTTGATTAATATTCCTTAACATATTTCTTTTAAACACTTCATTTTAGAGATGCAGTAGTCATCACTTTCTGTCAAATCTGAAGTGCTTACATGACTGAATTTGGAAGGAACAGAAAGACATGAAAAAATTAAAGAGCACATTAAAAAAAAACTTGAAAAAAAGCAGAAATGGTAACCCTTGAAAGAAGAAAATATGAAAAATAGTCTTAAAAAAACAAAACCTCAGCTAGCAAAGTATAATAAGATAAAAGTAAAGGTAAAAAAGAATGTAAGCATGAACAGCTGTAATTTGTCTATCTTCACTAAAAGAACATATATATGGAAAAATGACAGTAATGAAATAAAAGTGGGCTCTCTAAAGTAAAAACTGGCCTTTCTTGCAAATGGCTGGGTAATAACTAACTAACTACAAACCAAAGATAACTGATGCTGAAATTAAAAGAAATATGTCCAAAGTTGATGCAAAACAATATTCTAGGACAAAACAAGAAAAGATTCTCCTCTCTTAGTTGAGGATGTGAATAAAATACACTGAATAGACAACCATCAGCAATATATTATAAGGAAATGCCAAAACATGACAAATAAAATGATAAAAAGGTGAAGAGAGAGATTCACCATATAGAAAAAAGGGACACCAACTCTGACTCTGGACATTCAGCACCAGAGCTAGAGGCCTGGGTACATGAAATCAGAACACTGATAGTTTGTGACTGAAGAATGCTATGGAAGTATTAATCACAAAGCAGAAAAGACAATCATACTGTCAGTAGAAGAGCAGAAGGATGTATTGATTATTCTATGAGAATAATTTGATTAGATCAAGATATATGATTCAAATCTCCATAAGCATAAACATTCCAGAGCCCACAAATACATTTTGAAAGCAGGGATAATCAAAATATGTGTGCAGACCAACCAGAAGAAAGAAAGCATACTTCTGGTCCAAAACTGATAGACGTAAGAGACTAAGGTCAAGATTTTGAAAAACCAGGTTCCCTAAACTGAAAGATATTTCATAATACTCTACAAGTTGTCACAGAAGTGCCTGTGAAATGATGGAGATCAGTAGCAGCAATTAGAAAAAATAACTTCAAGTCTTATCAAGTTATTGTCAGAAGTTGAGCTTGATAAGGAAATAGCATATACTTGAAGTAATAGTGATGATAAATCAAGTTAGATTAGTAAATGAAATTACAGTAAAGTGAAATGACATTAATTATAAATTAAGAAATACAGAAGGTCATTTATAATTTTTGAAAAAGATAGTTAAGTTCAACAGTACTAGTTTTGAAGACCATATGTTATCCTCAGGGATCTTGCTCTGTATGTTTCCCTTAACTCTTGACAGTTGCTCTGTAGTGACATTTACATGAAAACAGGCTTCTTTGGAGAACAACTGTGTCAATGTTCTCCCTATTCTTAAGCATCTTTCATGAAATGGTTAAAGTCTTAGGTTCACAACTTTCAAGTGAATGTTCATGCAGATAATAAGCACAAAAGCCCATTACAGAAAATCAGATTATAAGACAGGTATATGGTTGAACAAGACCACTGTGATTCCAGCTTTCTGGCCACCTTTATATAAAAACAGACATTAATTTTGAGGTAAGGCTTGAATCTTGTGAACTTCAAGTTTATAAGCTTTTATCAACTTTCTTGTTTATTATCATTTTAAGAATATCAGGAGTAATGTAGAGTTTCATCAAAAAGGTTTTTGAGTCAGAAGATTATCTTATGTAACCACAGCCTTCACTTTGTGGGTGAAGGCTTTGTCCTGATAGGTTTGAGGTTTGGGAATTTGTTACAATTGTAAATTCTCTGCATTGTGAATTCATCCAAAAACAATGAACACTCATTCCATTGAAATGTTGTCTCCTTTGGCTCTATATTGACAGTCTCACTGTATGAATATTTTTCTTCAAAGCAGAGTGATATCACATACTCGTCCAGCCATCTGATCAAGTTTTGGGGAATATTGTCCAGTCAGCAAGGTTTCCTTTTACATGCAGGTCAATGCCTGGCTATCACATGACCATATTTCTAGATACTTCTTCATATTTGCAGGGAAATGATCCAGGTATTTCCTTAATTCGCAAATGATCCTCTGCATAACCTACCAGTTGAAACTGATTCTCATCAATGCACAATGTACATTTTTGTTAAAATGTAAATAAAAAATTCAAACAAAACTAAACTCAAACTGATTACACTGGTAAATCTTCTCCATCATTATCGAGTTTATAAGAAATAGTTACATTTAAAGAGTTGTATTACTGTATGTTTTCAGAACACTGATAGTGTACCATGGTTTCTTTAGTATCTAAAGATTAACACAACAGGTTAAGATTTATAGCTGATGATTACCAACAAGATTGCAATTTTACTGTTTTTGGAACATTTATACATACATGTAGATACTGTCATGAAAAATAATTCATAAGAATGTAACTTTTTTTTTCATAAAAGTTAAACACAACAACAACAAACTTCTTTTTTGTATTGCACTGACAGAAAAATCTGAAAATGGATTACAGTATTTTTTAATCTAGGGCAACTTTGATAGATGATGGTTATTATTAACAATATACAGGTTTTATATGTGTATATAAACATAGCTCTATCACAAATTTACCCAAAAATACAGGCAAAATTGGCATAAAGGTTGATCAAGAGTTATAATTATTGTTATTAAGGTCAATGTAAGCTCCTGCCATGAAACTTAAACATAAGCTTTGTTTGGGAGATCCATATGAAGCTCAATGCTCAGTGTCATCTTCCTCAGCTTTGAAAGTAGAAATTTGTCATTGAAAGTTATAAAGATACTTTTTTTCTTGGGGATAACTGTGTGTCCACTGTTTGATTCTATTTCAAAAAAGTTGAATGCTCATATCTGAAATTACCCTAACCAGTTTGGATTATAATGTGTATAATACTCCATGTGAGTATGATAATTATCAATTAAAAAAAGTTTTTTATATTAACTTTGCTCAGGGTGAACATACTTCTAATACAGAATTCATTAATAAGCTTACTGTGATAATTTTAAATTAAGTTAAGAGCAAGTTTTATACGTGAATGTTAAAATTATGAGAACTCTCAAGTTGTACAGAACAAATAAAACGTTTTGTACTTGAAGAATATGCTGGATCAAAAAAAATATTAATAAATGTTTACATTTCCAGAACAAATAATTAACATAGTATACATATGTATACTAAAGCACAAAACTTAATATTAATTTATATATTAATATTAATCAAAACACTACCATAGTGTGATAAACTAAATAAATCTTGAACAAATCTTTTATACTCTCAAACATTAAGATGGTTAAAATGAAATAACCTTACCCAGAATGGAAAGTGTGACTACAACAAAATCAAACACATTCCACGGTTCCTTAAAGTAGTGCAAGCGTAGGGCGAAGATTTTTAAGATACATTCTCCAGTGAAAACAGCAATAAAGAAGATATTCAAGCGCTCAAGAACATTCTCAAAAGTCTCAGTTTGCTGGTAGTGCTCCATGCCCATAACAATCATGTTAAACATTATGAATGACATAATGGCCATGTCAAATTTTGTGCTTGAAATCAGGTCAAAGATAATAGCTTGTGGTTTGAACTGTGGAAAGAAAATTATCATTGTGATTACAGTATATATGAAGTAAAATAATATTTCAAATAAAAGAACTGACAAGGTAGACATACAAAGACCAACCATAACTATACACTTCTGTACAAGTACTTCTGATCAAACCTCCAACACTTTATCTTAAGCACAAAATGTAAGCTAAGTGACTAATTAATGTAGCTATAACCCAAAATATCTTAGCAAAGTGAATTACCTTATTCCCAATTTTTCTTGTCTGAAAATTTTTAAAACCTGACTAATAATATTTATTGCTTAGTATTTTGGGTTTATATGATAAACACTTTGGGTTTGTCAACACTTTTGTGTTAAACATTCTGTATGAAAAAATTAGTGCACATTTCACTTGCTTACAAAATTTTCTCTTAAAAAAAGAAAGAACTTGTTCTTTTGGCACCATATTACATACATATACATGAACAAATGTATAAAGTCCCATATATTTCTACCAGATTACATACATATACATGAACAAATATATAAAGTTCCATATATTTCTCCCAGATTACATACATATACATGAACAAATATATAAAGTCCCATATATTTCTAGCAGATTACATACATATACATGAACAAAGATATAAAGTCCCAGATATTTCTGCCACTGAAAAAAAAACAACAAAAAACATTTTATTTTGCATACACATTTTAACAGAGATGACATCAAAAATCTTTTGGATTCTATCAATATAACCAATTTTCTTGACTATTTTTTTCATACATTTTAAGCCCTTAGTTAAGATTTGCATTTTAAATAAAATTTCCAATGTTAATCTTACTCTAGGTCGAGGAATAGCTTTCAAAGGTTTTTTAGATCCCATTTTCTTCATAGCATTATAGTATTTTTTCTGGTCCTCTGTCATAAACATCTCTAAAGATCCACCTGCTTAAAATATGAGAAAACATGGTTAGATGTTTATGCTTTTGGTTGATATTGTAGTTAAAAATAGGAGCCCTTAGTTTTGCATAGCTTTCTCATATCAGTTAACATAAATCCTTACATCTGCATGAAATTAATCAGAATCCATTTGGTAGATGGAGTCCAAATTTTTGATTCATGTTAATTATAAATATTATAAATCACAAACTATAATTTGAGTCTATTTCTTGTTACACATGCATGTTAAAAAACATGAAAATCAATAAAAGCCATGGTTGGCTTAATGCTTCTCTATTCAAAATGGATTAACAGAAAACAGAATATTAAGTACTCTTTAAGTGGCAACAACAAAAGAAATAACTTTAGACAAATATTATGCTGCATAAACACTCAATCAATCTGACAGTTTTTTAACGTTATATCAGTACAGCTTGTAGTACCTATATTTCAGTTATTAAAGAGCTATAACCATAGAGGAAAATTATCTAATATATATAAAATAAAATCTTATAGAAACCTTATAATAATAATATGGATGAGTTTCATAGAGGAAAATCATCTAATATATATAAATAAAATCTTATAATAATAATAATATGGACGAGTTTCATTCTGGATGTAATATTGCTTTACTTTAAAAACAAATACATAAAATCAGGAATGAAAACACTTGAAAATATACTTTTTTGGGACAGAAAAACAAAGAAATCATTGTTAAAATCAAACTTACTGCTTTGATACATAACTTATCAAGAAGCAAATCTCACAGTACACAATGGTTGCAAAAGATAAAGTTTAGTATTAACAAGAAATATAAAATTAAGTTTTACAGGGTGTATGAAAAGTTTGGAACCATAGGTGATTTGCAACTTTTCTTACTTTCAGATACATAACTGATTATGATGCTGTCAAAGCATGAGAAGGTCAAGTTAATCCTGTAAAATTGTTCCAGACATTTTTTGGACACCCTAAAGATTATGTTCAAAAACATAATTGGGCTCTTTAAGAACTAGTTATTAATACAAACATACAAATATATATATAAAAATTAAGCAGTTTAGAAGAATTTAAAACAGGCACAGTTTTCTCCCTCTTTTCTTAATTAATCAATATTCTAACATAATAAAATGCAACTTATCTTTTTCTTCTGTTCATTGAAATTATCAATGATGACACCAATGAAGAGATTTAATGTAAAGAATGAGCCAAAGATGATGAAGAAGACAAAGTACAAGTACATGTAGATATTGACTTCATCATCTGGTTGATCATTTATCTGAAAAGGTAGTTAACCAAATGTATTCAATCAAAAAGTTTTCTAAATCTTCAATAGAAACATTACATACATTATGTTACATAAAAACTGAAAAGACAAATATGACTATTTAGAAAACAGTAAGTTCACCTAGCTGAATTCAACTACCAAACTGTAGGTGCCATCTTAGATTTCTTTATATCAGAAGAGGATCATACAGTAAAAATCTAATAAATGTTAATTTTACTAGGAACTTATACATACATGTTCATTTTCCAGTTATATTCATTCTATCAAGCAACACATAATGATGTATTTATCAGAAAAATAATAATATTTTAAAATTTCAGTATACTAATTATTACATTTACAATTTTCTTATTTTGGTGTCCTGTACTGAGAAAACACTCCCAGCATTATCTTCTGGTATCCTTGCTCATTTCTAACATTAAAATACATGAATGCTTTTTTTAAGCAGTTTCTTTAAACTAATTAGTTCTACAGCTATAAAATGCAAATATAGTCAGCTTCTCTCAGAACATGTTCTTTGTTATACAAAATTCATTTCTATATTGTACATATATTACTTACTTGTCTGGAATCAATTGCACTGTTCATTATGTCAGTCCAACCTTTGAAAGTAGCCTAAAAATATAAAAATGTTACTAATTTATTTGAAACCTTGAAAATATTGAATAAAGTAATATTACTAATGATAAACAAAATATTTTGATAAAAAATGTTAGCAGCTTTGCATATTATTATATCTAAGAAACAGCAAAGTTATCAGACACCTATAATAACAAATGTTTAATTTTTATAAAAACAAGTGGGGATCAGTATATACATAAACTGGCTAGCTATAGTAATAAAAAAAAGTTTTAATACTTCATATAGTATTGAAATAAGAAAGTCAGAACTACAAAAACTGAGTTAGATAAAAGTTAAAAAATTTTATCTTTACATTGGCTCAGACTAACATAATTATAGTGAATTGCCAAAGTATATATTACTATAGCTAGCTAAGTTATGTATATATTGATCCCTACTTGTCTTTATAAAATTTGAATTTTTCTATTATACTTGTTTGTTTCCTTTTCATTAGCTATATTTTTGTGCATCAGCAATACCAAGCGTAGGTTACACATATACCCGATTCAATTTTATTACTCATCAGAACCTCTACCAACCTACCCTGAAGTCTAATTATATGCCAAAAGTAGTACATCATCCA